GAATTGACTAAGGGAAAGTTGGGTACAAGTACAAACCCTAGAAAGCTGTACCCCATATGTGCTACCCCACTAAAGCCTACAGTAGCTATGTCATATAAATCTGACACACCCCCATAGGCAAAGTGGGGGAGAACAAGGGGTCACAAGACCAGTCAAGCAAAGCAAAGCAAGCTCAGGGTAAATCACAAAGTCACCACACATTCCGAGCACAAGTTCAAGGCCACAAGGCCAGTTCACATGCAGGATTACATGTATATATATAAGGCTAAAAAAGCAAGAGCAAGTGTATATATATATATGCAACAGTACAAACAAGGTCAAGGGGTGAGCAAGTGAGGCAAGGTAGGCACAAGACCTAGCTGAGTACAGAAGCGCTGATGATCACAAGGCGCAAGTGCCTAGGTGAAGATATCAGCAGTGTTGGCCTCAGAGGCCACGTACGCAAGGCGCAGCTGACCACGCTGCTGTAGCTCGCGAGCAAGGAAGTAGCGGAGAGCAATGTGCTTCGTTCTGTGCTCCAGTCTCTGCTCTCGACACAAGGCCAGCATGGCCTTGTTGTCTACGTACAGCACTGGAGGAGAACGAGGCGGTTCTCCGAGGTCAGTCAGCAGGTAGGTGAGCCAGCGAAGCTCCTGTGCAACCATGGCCCCGGCGTAGATCTCAGCCTCACAACTGGAGCCGAGAACAGAAGACGAGCGGGTAGCCCGCCACGAGACAGAGCCGGAACCAAGGCTGAAGGTGTAACCCTGTGACGACCGCTGCGTAGCCTAGTCGTCAGCCCAAGAAGCGTCTGCGTGCCCAGTGAGGACCACTGGACTCTGCCCTCCAAGCACAAGCCCCATGCCCGACGTACTGCACAAGTAGCGCAACACCCTCTTCGCTGCAGCCATGTGCAAACTAGAACGAGAATGAATTGACTAAGGGAAAGTTGGGTAAAGTACAAATCCTAGAAAGCTGTACCCCATATTTGCTACCCCACTATAGCCTACAGTAGCTATGTCATATAAATCCGACATCCTTCTCTGGCAAAATTCACCTCACTCGCCCCGCCCTTCGAAACCCGCTTTTTCAGGGCGTGGCGAGAGACATGGGAGGGAGGAACAGGGGGTGGGGACACCTATCAACTACCCTCAATGGACATGCCCTCTTGTTGCGCGTAACCCAGAACGAAAAGCACAACCCGATCGAAGGAAAAAATAAACGCCCAGCCATCTTGCACAAATCGGAAGTTGGTAGTTGAGGTTTGAATTTTGTTTTTCCACTGTTGAACTCCCTTGAACAAAATTGTACCCTCCTATTTAGGTTTCCTCGATTCGATGTACCCCTGCCTATGGGGCGCGAAATTGAGCAGGCAAATGCGTGATTTACCTTCAGCACTTTCCGCCCCAGCTCACGAAGTTTCACGCTTTCGGTTGTAGCGGGGTGGATGTGATTTCGAAACGGAAACTGCTTAGGAACCCTCATCATTTCCTTTCGCCCCCCCTCCTCCCCCTCACGGCATGTGCCTACAGAACAGAGCCAAGGACTCAGAACCTTCACCGAGCCAGGTGTTACGCGAAGGTTCCGAGGGTCGCGAAGCGTCCCAAATAGATCCTTCCCGAATTCGGTGGAATTCAGTGCACGCAACCTAGCTCGGTGCTAAAACTATAATAAAATATAGGAAAGCACATAGCCTAGGAAATCAAGCAATTCATGCATGCATATAATTATCCTATGCTAGAAATAGCATTAAAAAGTAAAGGCAAGCACGCATAGCTGGCATAAGCCGTCGTACTCTCACATCCTGAAAGGGTAGGACACGACGCGAGGTGGGATGGTAAAACTGCCAGCCAGACGCGTTAGGGGGGAAGCCAAGGAAGACGCAGGGAACGGCGCGCGATGAAAGCTTGTCCGTGGAGGTATCGCAGACAAAGGCACGACAGCGCTAGACCCGGAACACCGACGCATCGCCAACCTCTCCCGTCCAACGTAGTGTCGGCGAGGTCTCCGGCAAGGAGACAGGTTGAGCTGATGCGCAGCCTACCGGACAGCAAATGGCCACGGAAAATGGGGGGCAGCCGCATGGATCATGGAGGTACGAGCGACCTCCATGACTAAGCCAATGCAGCGCTCAGCAACCCCATTCTTCTGCGGAGAGGCTGGAAGGGTGAACGACTTGCGGATGCCCTCCCCACGACAAAAGAACCGCAAGAGGTCGAAGACAAACTCACCACCTCTGCCAAAGTCCAGACGCAAGACATCAAGGTCCGTGTGGAACCGCTCGCGGAGCTAGAGATGGACAACGCGAATCCAAGGGATCAAAACATCAGGGACCTCCCACTTGCTGCGCAAGGGGAAGACCGTGGTGTAACACGAGTAGTCGTCAACAATCAGCAGAAAGTAGCACTCGCGGCCCTGTCCACGGACGCGGGCTGGGCCTCACACGTCCATGTGGAGAGTCTACAGGGGAGCAGTCGTCGGGAGAAACGAGGAGGAGTGAGGAGTGGCGCGCTGCCGCCTTTCGACACAGGGAAGGCAGGGAAGGGCAGGCGAGGGTGGGAGGGGAGGCAGAGACCACGGAAGACCAAAGACAGGGAGACGGAAGTGCATGCCTCGGAGGCGTGGCAGGGAGGGGTGACCAAGGCGGTGGTGCCAAATGAGAGTCTGGTGCGACAGGGCGCGACACGAGCAGGGGGGCGCAAGCTGACCTGACGCGGACGCAGAAGCAGCTACCTGAGGAGGCTCAGTAGTCAGTGTGTACAGGCTCGACCCGGGCCGACGGGTGAACGTGGCCAGATTGCCATACGCTGTCATCCAGGAATAAAGGTATCAACCCATTCTTCCTGAAGGACGGCGTTGCTCGCCAAGTTCGTAGAGAACGAGGGGAGGTGAAGACCTGACAGTTAGCCAGACGGAACCGCCGGACACGGGAGAACAGTGGAGGAACGTGCAAAAACCGGTCCCCCAGAGGGGTCAGCTAGAGAGACTGCAACCGGTGCTGTGAGTGGTGTGACCGTGGTGCTGTCGCGAAAGAAGCAGCGGGAAGCACCTGAGTCAAGCGTGAAGTTGTGCAAGGCCTCAGCAGGCGCAGTACCAGAGAGAGCAGACTCACCAGCACCTAGAGCAGACTCACCAGCACCTAGAGCAGACTCACCAGCACCTAGAGCAGACGCACCAGCACCTAGAGCAGCAGCCTTAGGGTCTGGCGGCACACACAGGTAAAACTCACCCTGAGTTCTAGTAGTCAAAGCATACATGGCAGTGAGGATAGCGTCATACTCTAGTTCAAAGATATCCACCCTTTTCCGAAGCAGCTCTAGCCAGCGGGGGAGGTCAGCCTTGTTGCCAAACACTGCACGGCAGGCGTCGCTCAGGAAGACGAAGCAGCGAGCCTGTGTATGACCAACTGTTCCGCATGTCTGACCAGCCCGATCACCCGTGCGAATGACGTACGCGCAGCGGACAGTACTCCAAGTCCCCCCACTCTGAGCGTACCTTTCATGAAGCTGCTGGGGCGGAAGGGTCTCGCGCAGACGCCGCTGCAGCTGCATCTGGCCACCGCTAGAAACTCCACACAGAATAACTCCACCGCGACTGCTACTACAGCCGCCGCCACCACACTTACTGGCGTACCACTCACAAAGCTGATGGGGCGTAAGGGTTTCGCGTGGACGCCGCTGTAGCTGCATTTGGCCACCGCCATAAACTCCCCACTAAACAGCTCCACAGCGACTGCTACTACGGCTGCCACCACTCCCACTGCTACCACCACGGCCGTCACCACTCCCACCGCTACTACGAAGTGAAGTCATAGCGGTCAAGTAAGGAGGCGCGCGACCAGTAGGGCAGTACGGAGGAAAGGCTGTAGCACGAGCAGCAGTAAGAGCAGTAGAGCGGCTCGGTGAGGCTAGGCTGCAATAACTCCAACACTCCTAGCAGTACCTCCACCACCAGCAGCAGTAGCACGAGCAGCAGGGCGGATCGGGTTGGGCAGGGCGGCTGAGGCTGCGCGGCGCGGATCGGCCTGGGCGGCGCGGGCAGCAGGGCGCGACGCGCGGGGCAGCGGGGCGCGACACACTGGTTGCAGCAGGGCGCGACGCGCGGGGCAGCAGGGCGCGACGCGCAGGGCAGCAGGGCACGACGTGCGGGCTGCAGCAGGGCGCGACGCGTGGAGCAGTAAAGCGCGACGCGCGGGCTGCAACAGGGTGCGACGTGCAGGGCAGCAGGGCGCTGGCTGCAGCAGGACGCGGGGCATGGCGTACACGGGCAGTGTGACGCTAAGGCAGGCCAGGGCAGGGCGTGCGCTGACGGCGCAGCACAGGGCAGGGCGTGGGGATACGCGGTAACCGCAGTCAGTCACTAGGTAATGGTGGGCCCGATAAAAAACGGTCCTACAGAGCTACTGCTCTAAAACCATGTCAGAAACTAACGAGCAGGAATGAATGCATTAATCAGAAATGTGGTACAAGTACTAACCCTTATTGGGTTGTACCCCATATAGGCTACCCCACTAAAGCGTACACAACATAAGCAGCATTATAGTTTGACACAACCTAGCCTAACGATGTGTACCCCGGACCCAAAAGTATAGAAAAATCAGTGTTGCGAAACAAAAACCACTGGAATTTCAGTGTTACAAGGCATAAAGCACTGGAAAATCAGGGTCAGTACCAGAAAACACCCAGGAAAGAAGGAAATCAGGGTAAAAACTTGACTTACGAGGGCCTGCTTTGAGAGTCTGATGTGGATGGGAAGGCATGATCTGACACATTTTGATACTCAAAGAAGACGTGTCTCCAATTTCAACACTAGGTACAAGCACTCTCAATCATAAACTGCACACAGGTACACTGCACCCGATTTACATCTACCATATACATATACGCACAATTAAAGAAAAACAATGCCTATCACACCATGCACCCACATATGAAGCTCCTGGAGCAAGTGAGGTCAAAATTACGGTAGGCTTGGGTGCTACAAAATCACCCATGCAGCAAGAACCATGTAGTGTTCAGGCTTCAGAAGCCTTCAAATGTATGTGCCGTGGGAGCAGCTGAGGCAGTAGTCGTTCCACCTAAAGCAGCAGCAACAGGGTTGCAGCATGCCTGCACACACTGCTCCTTTGCTCCATACTCTCTCCCCACCCCCCTGCCAAACTCCCTTCCAACACCGCGCACATGGCTGCTGCACAAATCCCCAGCTCCTCCCCTGCCACCGGCACTCGCACTGGCACTGCCGGTGTGCCTGGTAGTGCACACGGAATGCAGGCCCTGGGCGGGATGGAGATGGGAGTCGTGCAAGGGAGCCAGACACATGGCAGGCGCGAGGTACCGCGCTGCTGTAGCATCAGGGTAGAAAGCAGGGTGGGGGTGGGTGTAGTGCAGGGGAGCATGGCGCATTGGGGTGTAGGGGTACAAGGCCCCTGCTCCCCCCCCTGCTGTTGCAGCAGCAGCAGCAAGGGAAGAGCCAGTGGAGGCTAGAATGAGTTGCTGGTGGTGGTGGGAGTGGGGGAGTGGGTGGGAGGAGGTGGTGGTGGTGGTGGTGGTGGCGGAGGTTGCAGGGGCAGTGGCAGGGGTAGTGCCAGCGGCAGTGGCAGCGGCACGGGTAGAGTGAGGGAGAGCAGCGCATGAATCGACAATGATGGCATTGGAGCCGGCACTGGCACCTGCCACGGCGCCAGCAGCAGCTGCAGGCGGCGTGAGAGAGGCAGAGGCAGAGGCAGCAGAGGCTGAGAGAGAAGCGGTGGGATCAGCAGCAGAGGCGAGTGCGGCATAGGCAACGGAGGAGGCGGATGATCCGTCCTGACCCTTGTGTGACTGCCCGTTGCTCTCACCACCCTCCTGTTGCTCCTGCTCCTGCTCCTGCTGCTGGTGTTGCTTATGTCCGTCCTGTAAGCTCCGCTGCTGCTGCTGCTGTTGCTGTTCCTGCTGCTGCTGTTCCTGCTGCTGCTGCTGCTGCTGCTGCTGCTGCTGCTGCGACCAGGATACAGCACCGCCAGCAGCACCATTGGGAGCATCCAGAGCGCCAGCAGGCGTACCAGAAAGAGGGGCCAGAGCAGCAGCAGACGCAGGAGAAGCAGCAGGCGGATACCCCATCTGCTGTCCCACACCATCATACCAGGGCAGGCCTAGCGGTGCAGGCCCCAGAGAATGGCCTGACAGAGAGGCACCCGACATGAGCCCTGCACCTGTATCACCTCCCATCGTCGCCCTCGCATGAGCCGCTGATGCCGCCGCAGCTGCTGCTGCTGCCGCTGCTGGGGATGGGGGCAGCAAACCCATGGGTGGGTAGTGGAGCGAGGCGAATGGGGTGAAAGCGCGGTGAGAGGTGAAGGGATTGCCCCAGGAGGCATTGGCAGGGTCTGCTGCTGAGTGCATGCGGCAGTGCATTGAGGGCATGGCGGTTCGGAGAGTGGGGATTGAGGGGAGACCGGGGAGGGATGTACCAGCTGCAGCGGCAGCAGCGGCAGCAGCGGCAGCAGCAGCAGCACTAGGAGAAGACGGGCTGTACAAGGGAAGTGAGTGTGGGTGGTGCCTGGAGTGCGAGAGGAAAGCGGAGGAAGGAGGGTGGGAGAGGGAAAGGGAGTGAGGGTGGGAGTGCGGATGATTGCCGGATTGGGCATGTGCATAGGAGTGGAGGGAGGAGGCGGGAGGGGCCGTAGAGGGCCCAGTGGGACCAGTCATGCTGGGAGTGAGTGGGTGGGCCTGATGCTGCTGTTGGTGCTGCTGGTGCTGCTGCTGGTGGTGGCAGCGGCAAGGCTTTGATGAGGCGGAACGAGGGGCCGATTCTCTGAGGGATGCGTGCTGCTCCATGCTGCCGCTTGTGCCATTGTTGGTGGCGGTGGTGGTACCACTCTCATGCTGCTGTTGCTGCAGCTGTAGTTGATGCTGCTGATGCTGCTGCTGATGGTGTGCAGAGACAAGGTGTGGGTGGTGGTGAGTGTTGAGGGCAAAACCCCCACCTGAGCAGGCGTCATGCTGATACTGTACATACTGCTGCTGCTGGTGCTGGTGCTGCTGGTGTTGCTGATACTGGTGCTGCTGGTAACGGCAATGATGCTGATGATGCAGCATCTGCTGTCGTTGGTGCTGCATCTGCATCTGATGCTGATGCTGATGCTGCCGCTGATGCAGCTGCAGCTGCAGCTGATACTGGTGCTCCTGTGCTTCCTGCTCCAGCTCCATCCTCCTTGCCGCATCCTCCACTATCACGTCTCCCACATTCCCCTCGCTCAACTCCTGCTGCCGCTGCTCTTGCTGCTGCTGTTCATGCTCGTGATCGAGATGGTGATGGTTGTGGTGCTGCTGGCGTTGCTGCTGGTGGTGTTGATGGTGGTCCTCGTCACCTCGCTCGTCTATAGGCGCGCAGAGCGAAGCAGCAGCAGCCAGTTCCTGAGCGGACTCCAGATGAGAAAGGGCAGGGCGATCGGCGCTCACACCACTGCGAGTCGCACCACCAGCAGATGTCCCTTCCTCGTTGGAGACAGCTGCTGCAGCAGCAGGGTTGGCAGTAAGGGTGTTGTTCACCCCACCAGCAGCAGTAGTAGCGGCAGTGGCAGCAGCATCGGCAGCATCAGCGGCACGCGCGGTTTGGTGAGATGAGGCAGCAGCAGCAGCAGCAGCAGCAGCAGCAGCAGCAGCAGCAGCAGCAGCAGCAGCAGCAGCAGCAGCAGCAGCAGCAGCAGCAGCAGCAGCAGCAGCAGCAGCAGCAGCAGCATGGTATCCACCATGCACACTGGCATCCCCCTGCCCCTCATGCCCCATCCCATCCCCTCCCCCGTCCGCTACCGCAGCCCCACAGTCACCACCATCCCCACTATCACTCACAAACGCACCACCACCACACAGAGCGAACCCATCATCGTCAGCACGTGCCTGTGCCAACTCATCCTCGCCATCCCCATCCCCATCCACACCCCCACCCTCCTCACCCCCACCGCCATGCACATCCCCACCGGCATGGTGCATGGCAGGGAAGTGCAGGGGCGAGGGCGGCAGGCCCATGGCCAGAGCGAGGTCGCAGCCATCAGGCCCGCCCAGATCCATGAGGTCACCTAGACTGCTTGAAAAGGCGGATGCCAGCATGCCAGGGCTCGCCCACATGCTCTTGCCCGCCACTGCTGCGCCTGCTGCTGCTGCTGCTGGGATGGCCTTGCCGCCTGTGTGGACTGAAGGGGGATGGGTGCGGTGGGGAGTGGGGTGAGCGTGGGGAGGGAGAGGGAGGGGTCGACTGGGGGTCAGCATGTGCCTGGGTTGGCAGTGATGGCATGCGTGCAGCGAGTTGTGAGATGGACGGGTAGATTCAGGAGAGGGAGAAAAGTTGGGGTTGAGGGAACAAGGAAGGGAAGAACAAGAAGGGGAATCGACGAGATTTTCTGCAACGGGGCGCAGAAGGACATGTACATGGCACTACTGGTAGGAGGTTGCTAGCAGTTCGCCATAACAGCAGCAGAACACAAGCGGTTAACAGAAAAAAAAAAAAAAAAAAAAAAAAAAAAAAAAAGAGGTGGCCGAAACAGAACCACATGCTGCATGCTGTGCGGCCATACCGTGTGGGAACACGTGTGCAGTCATGTGGTGGTCGGTGGGGAGGGCGGCGGGGGCAGAAAGAGCAGGGAAGTGATGGGCTGGGACATGGTGCAGTGGCGCTGCTGCTGCCGCGGCAGCAGACGTGATGCCGTGCGCTGCTTGCTCCATCTCCTCAGCTGTCAGCCCTGCCAGGTGTTGATCCTCCTCGTGCAATGCATGCAACTCGTGGTGCTGCTGCTGCTCCTCGTGGTGATGGCGATCCTGATGCTGCTGCTCCTGATTGTGCTCTTGATGGTGCTGCGGAGGGAGGTGCAGGCTCTGCTGCACCTCCCCCTCTTCCACGCCTGAGCTTGCATTCTGACCTTGCTGTGACGCCGCTGCATGCCGTGCTTCCACCACCACCATCGGATCACCACCACCACCAGCACACCCAGCATCACCAGCAGCAGCGGCAGCAGCGGCAGCAGCAGCAGCAGCAGCAGCAAACGACTTGCCTTTCCCTCCATGGTCGGATGGTAAGCGCAGCCTCTTCCCCTCGCGCTTCACACAGTACACTCCATCTATCTCCCCCTCCACCACACCTCCACACGCCGCCACTGCTTTTGCCACCAGCCCACGCACCACCACCTTCTTCCTCTCCCTTTCCCTCTCCTCCTCCTCATCTTCCTCCTCTTCCTCATCCTCCTCATCCTCGTCCTCCTTTTCCTCCTCTCCCTCCCCCTCCCCCTCCCCTTCCCCCACCTCTTCTCCAACCTCCCTCTTCGCCTCCCATGGGAATTCAAACCCCAGCTTCGACGAATCTCCCAGGGCCCAGTCATCCTCGTTAAAGTCCATCCCGCCACAAGCACTAGCCACCGCGTGTGAATCCACACCAGCAGGCGCAGCAGCAGCAGTAGCAGGACCAGCGCAAACGGCAGACGCAGCAGCAGCAGCAGTAGTAGTGGCAGCTGCAGCAGCGCCAGTGGCTGCAGTAGCACCGGCGTCGGCAGCAGCAGCAGCAGCAGCAGCCGCAGCGGTTGCAGCAGCACCAGCAGCGGAAGCAGGGCCGGAGTGGCAAGAGGAGGTGCTGATGGTGCCACGTGGCCTTCCACACACTTCACCCACGGACACAGGAGGCACGCCGAGACCCGATGGTTGACACGTGGGGCGATGGGATTGGTGCGGATGGTGCAGGTGGTTGTGCTGCCGATGGGGGTTGGCATTGGCACTGGCATGGCTGAAACGGGTGCGTTTGTGCAATGAGTGAAGCGTCTGCTGCTGCTCCTGCTCATACTGCTGACTGCCGCTGGTGGTCGTGGTCGTTGTGGTGGCAGCAGCAGCGGCAGAAGCAACGTTGCCGTCTGCTTGTTTGCTCTCCCCGTACACATTGTTGCTCTTGCCCGCGTTGCCAGCAGCAACGCCATTGTTGTTCGTGGTCGTGGTTGTCGTGGCACAAGGCCCCGACACACACACGCTCACAGCCTCCCCACCTCCTCCCCCTCTGCCTCCCACCCTACCAGCCTCTCCTTCTGAGCAAGTACCAGCAGTACCAGCAGCAGTGGCAGTGGCAGCACAGCCAATGAGTGACATGGACCCACCAGGGCTACCAGACACGGCAGCAGAAGCAGCAGCAGCTGCTGACTGCTCCATGGGTGCCCCACCAGAGGCAGTAGTCGCAGCAGCAGCGGTGCTAGTGCCAGCACCAGTAGCGGCAGGTGCGGAGGAGGCAGGAGTGGCAGGCAGGGCGAACACCACGTGGTTCTGCTGCCGCCGCCCGCCCACACCAGCCGTCAGCGCTGCTGCTGTGCCCACTGCGGAGCTTGCCTGGTGCGCCGCCAGGTGCGCCTGGGGAAGGCAACGACTGGCCGCTCCGCCAGGAGCAGCAGCAGCAGCGGCGGGGGGGGGTGGGATGGGGGGAGGGAGCGCGAGAGGGGAGGCGAGTCTTCTAGGAGTGAGGGCAGCGCAAGCAAGCGCAGGCGAGCACCCGGTGCTGCCGGCTCTGGTGGGGATCGATGGCGCAGGCGCGGACATAGCAGGCACGGGACGTGATGACGGTGCGGGACGTGCAGCAGCTGCCACAGGTACCTCGGAGGAAGTAACTCCGCTATCCACGCCACCAGCACCAGCAACACCACCACCAGCAGCTTTCGGAGCAACACCAGTACCAGCCGCCGCTGCGCCATTTCCCCTTCCGCCAATCCCTGCTGCGCTGGCTTGTGCAGCAGCGCGCGCAGCTGCGCGGGCGTTGCCAGCCACAGGGGCGGGGAGAGACGTGCCTGTCGATAGGGCCGCCGCCGCCGTCGTCGCCGTCGCGCGCCCCGCGGAGCCATCACCTCCGCGGCCGCCGCCATGGGGCGCGGAGGGAAGGTGCGCGATGGCTTGCGCGGCGTGCATCAGCAGCCACTCCAGCGCTTCCGACGGGTGGTCCGCGCCGAGCCGATCCTGTACGTCGTAGAACGCGAGTGCCGCGGGGACAGACAGGCGCACGCGCCGGTCGCGGAGCCCCTTGGACGTCTGCACCTTGCTGTGGCGGTCGCGGTGCGGGATCACCGCGGCGCCTCCTGTGGTAAGGTTGCCAACGCCTCCGCCGACGCCGCCGCCATCGGACAAGGCAACGGCTAGCTCTCCGCCTCCGCTGGTCGTGGCGGCAGACGCGGTCGGACCCGCTCCGCCGCCCCTTCCGTGAGCTCCGCCGGCAGAGGATGCGGCGCGCGCATTTCCGCCGCTCTTTCCGGCGCCCTGGCGCGCACCGCCGCCTGCGCCTGATGCGCCGCGCGGCGAAGCTCCGCTGGCCGCCCAGCTGCGCGCGCGGCTCTCCGTCTTGAGGCGCTTGAGAGAAATCCCCGTCCCCACGCGTCGCACGGCTTCGCCGGCGGCGGCATGCGACATGACGACCGCGCCACCGACGGCATTGGTCGCAGAGCCTGGAGAAGCTTTACCAGCGGCGGCGTGGTCGGCGGTCGGCGGCGAGCTTCTCGTAGCGCATGCGGCGCCGCCATCGGCTCCATCGACCACGTGGCGGCGCTTGCGGCAGGGGCTGCTACGTTCTGCGGCATCAGAAGCAGAGACAACAATCGAGGCTGCTGTTTCTGCTGTTGCGGCGGCGGCGGAGGCGGCGACGACGGGGGAATTGGACGTAGCGGCGAGAACCAGCGCCATGAGCGGCTTCCGAAGATCTTCCTTCAGACGTTCGGAGCCGCAGCAACGGGCGGCAGGCCCCAGAATTCTTCTGAGCACAGTACGCGGCGTTCGCGTCGTCCGTGTGTGCGTGAGATGAGGCCCTCCGTTCCACAATAAAGATCACCTGAACAGTACACGCCAGCGCAACCCCCACGCCCGTTTTGCTACTACTTCTAGTATAGTGGTAGCGGTACTTGTACTAGTGCTACCACTAGCTTCCACGTGGTTTCGTTACGCCACGGCTCCGCGTGTTCCGCGCAGATATCACCGCCTGCGCGCTCCCTGCGCCAACGTAGTTGCGCTAATATCGCGCGAATCCCAACCGAACGAATGGCTGAGATCCCCCAAGCTGCTGAATTTCGCTCCTGCGGCTGCCACGCCTGTACCGCCGGTAACCTCTCCCGCTCTCAGGACACGACTATTAACTTTCAGGTGGCTCCTCGTCTCCGTCGCAGAAAAAACGCGCGTTGACGTGGCACAGTCTCCGCTCTAGGAACCAGGCGCCGCTGTCGCCGGGGTAACGGGAGATGAGCCAACGGCGGAGGCCCTGCAACATTTCCTTGCGGCGAAAACGACTTTAGCTGCTCGGAACGGCCGCGGCGATTTGAGTGGTGACGCTCTGCTAAGCGGTGGCCTGGCAATGGCGAGGAGGGAGCGATTGCGATTGCGAAACGCGTGATCACGGTGTTGACAGAGGCGTGAAATGGAAGCTGTTTGTGGTTAGAGCGACGAAAGCGGGAACATGGGATGGGAAGGATGGTACGGATGGCCACACTTGAAACTTTGAAGGGCGAGAAAGAGCGGAGAGCGGTTCCACAGGCTTGGCTGACGAAAGGAGGAACCAGCTAAGTGTTGGCCAAGAGTGACGGAAGGAGCGTGAGAGACGAGAAGAGCTGGCAGAAAATAAGGCTCAGAAGAGAGAATCGAGTGAGGTGTGCTGCGCGCAGTGAAAGATGGAGGACGGACAGCTCGACCGACTCGCACTGGCGCAGTGCGAGGGAGACACAACAGGCAGTGGCAGCTTCCCCTCCCCTCCCCAAGGCAATTCAGCTGCGGGCGATGGGCGCGTGGCAGGTTGGCGACAAACGTAACCTCGTTGGCTTTGATTGCCGAATGCAATGATGTGGTCTTCGTGTGTGTGAACAAAGCAGCAGATTGGACAGGCGATTTCGCCACCGCATGAGGAAATTCGCGTGCGAGCTCGCATGCGCGAAAGTGAAGTTCGAGGAAAACAAGCTCCTTGATTTGGTTGTCGGTCTGTACACACTTCAAATGACACGTCCGCTTCTACTTTCCTTGATTCTGCTCCTCAATTCTCCCTCCCTCCCTCACTGGCCTTGTCCAACTGCCGCCATTCATAAGTGGTTGGGCGGCGTAAGGGTGTGAGCCCAATCGAGTTTGATCGCGATCGATCTGAACGGGTCGGATCTGATCGGGTTGCTTGTGATCGAAGTTCCCGAGCCGCCGGATCAGAAATGTTTTCGGAGAAGATTTCCAGCGCCTGCGGAGCAATTGCTGTATATTTACGTCGCAATTTCTCCCCATTTTAGCGAGATTGGCGACCGTATGTCACCTGGCGAAACTTTTGTTTCCCTGTAATATTGACAGTGTAACTACACGCAAGCGTCGCTGTGGGCCCCGATCACATGCAATCAATTGATCGCCTGTAATCGAGGAAAATCGACTTTGATCGGGGTGATAATCGGGTCTGACTGACTTGGGGCGATTAGCTGATCGCGATCAGCTGATTGTCCCTGATTGCATAAAATTGGCTTCCAGGCTTCCTAGACACTGTCGATCGCATGTGATCGAGGCGATTGAATTCTATTGAGACCACGCCCTAAACTCAATAAGGATCCCGACCAGCCCCACCTCCCTGAAATACACCGAATATTGAGGAAAGGTGAGATTAGGTACCCACAGTGAATATTATGAGCACCATATTACACGAGGAATGGTCATTGACCGAGTTCCAGTCAAATATATATTTCAAACCATTCTACCCCCCCTTATGGTTACGACCTTTATATAACCTATAACCATTCTAACTCCCCTCCTCACTCCCCTCCCCCTCTCTCTTCAATTGCTCCATTCAGGTCAAAAGTGGCGTTTCATTCACATCGGAATGCCAACAACACAAAAATCTTTCAAGTCGAACAAGAAACGGGTTGGGAAAGTGCCCGAAAACGCCAACCCTGATGAGGGCTCTGCTCCCAGCGCAGGTGTCCCGTACGTCGAAATCTCTACAGCACCATTGGATACATCTCGAATCGCTAATGTCGGTGTGGTCACCAGTTGTCCCCACTCAAACCAATGAAATCCTCCTTTTTCCTCACACTGCGTGGATACCTCAGCAATTGCGAGGGATCCATGCAGCTTCTCAACATACCACGTCATGGATGGGATGCAGTGACGTGTCGCAAACGGACAAGTGACGATTTTTCTTGGCATCCACAGAATCGTCGAATGGCAGATGCATAGATCATTTCAACCGCAGAAGAAAACAAACGTGGCGAAGTCACATGATGAACTGTACCATCGCTATCCAGACTTCGGTTCGGAGTCGCCGCCACATTGAAACCGCCCTCTTCTTCCAAGTTCCAAACCATCACACCGTGACGCAGATAGTGACAGTTAATAATCCATCCAAGAGTTTGACGCCTTAATGGTGTCTGCATTACAAATCGTTGTACCATCCTTGTTAGTGAAAGTGGCTTAAGAAAGTTGGTCCTAGTCACATACATACTTCTATTGCAGAATGGTATTATGCCTTACCTGTGACAAGCCCGCTTCCCATTGTCCCTGCTTAGATAGATTCCCCCGCCAGGTTCATCACTATGAGATTGCTTGTTTGCATGTGTATTTTGTAGGCTAGGTTGGATTGTAATAAAAGAGGGCATGTGATGTTACATTTTCATCATAATATTTCTAACATGGTATCACTAGTAGGTTAGCTCCTTTGATTTCGCCCCAACTATCTCTCTAGCTGCCCCTCAGCCCTCTAGCGCCTCCCCTCCCTCTTGCGGCCCCCTTACAGCGACCCCCCCACCCCCAACCCCCCTTCCTTCCTGCATGCTTTTGCGGCGACTTTACGAGGGCTGGTGACGGCAGAGATTGCGGCAATGGTTGCGGCGGAGGCAGGGGGCGGGGGAGGGGGTGGAGGAGGGGGGACGGGGGGAATTAAGGGGGGGGGGGGGGGGGGCACCTGCAAAGGTGAAATAGGAGGCACACCCTTACGTACCGAACCTCCAAATTCAGCAGATGCCCCTTGGGGTGACACGTGGGATACACCAGACTGAGAAGGACGTGGGGGGACAGAAGCGAGCAAGGAGTGGGAGTGAGAAAGAGTAGAAGGGAAGGAATTGGGTTACCTCGGTGAGGGAAGCAAGCATAGAAGAAGATAAACTCGTCAAGGGTGGCATCATGAGAGCGGAGGAGATTGTGAAACAAAGGGTGGTAGAATAGACAGTTAGGGGCGTTGAGAGGGGAACCAAGGAAGACACGCAAGGGAGTGCGGGCTGAGAGCTTTTTGTCAGAATGTAATGTTTGTCTAGCCTGCAGTGGGGTACTGTATAGCGAGTACAACCCAATTAGGGTTTCCTAGATGTATCTCATCTGCTGCTAGTGAAAAAACCCCTCTTTCCTATTTCTCGTTTTAGCCTAATGTTTCACCATGCTACCAGAGCAGGTCGACCCTCGCTCCGAGCACGCAGCGATTTTTCTTCCCGCTGCGCGCTCGGGGTGCGCGACGGTTTTCTACCCCGTCAAACCACGCGTCGCCCCCTGTCGACCGTCGCGTCGCCCCCCGTCGCCCGACAGGGCCCGCGCGACCTGCGCCAGGCCCGCGCGCGGCCTGTTTAGCCCGCGCGCGGCCCAGGCAGCCTGCGTGCGGCTCGTCCCGAGCTTCTGACCGCGCCCCACCCCCCCTGCTGCCCGCACTCCTGTGTAAGGGTTTGGGGGTGGAGAGTATGGGGGTGCCGGGTGTGTGAGCCGTCCCTTGCTCCTCCTCCTCCTCTGTCTCCAACTGCTGCAGCTGTCGCTGAGGGGGGTGGATGTGTTGGAGCCATCGGAATGGTACGAGGGGGGTGGCGTGTGAGCAGTGCTAGAGGTGCCGCAGGGAGTGTGTGAAAGGGGTGTGGGACAGCTGGGGGAAGTTGTGTGGAGGCAGTCGTCTTGTCGTCCGCAGCGCCTGAAGTCCAGAGAGCCACGACCCCCTGTGGCCGTGTAGTTCGGGGCTCTGCGCCCGGTAGCCACAGTGTGAGCACTCTTGGTATCCAGAGAGCCACGAACCCCTGTGGCCGTGTAGTCCGGGGCTCTGCGCCCAGTAGCCACAATGTGAGCACTCCTAGGAGCACAGTGAGCTAGCTGCGCCTATCGCCGTGTAGTCCGTTTTTAGCCTGGTAGCGACAGTGCGGCGCACTCGTGTTGCCCGTGTGTCTGCAGCTTCAGCCGTCGTCTCGCATCTTCTCGCCCCCACAGTTTCTCCTCCTCCTCACTTGCCCTCTGTGATAGCCTCTAGCTTTGCTTATCCTTGTGAACTATTGCTCTGCTTGCTTGTTGTGTTGATTGTACCCCACTTTGACTATGGGGGTGTGTTAGAATGTGATGTTTATCTAGCCTGCAGTGGGGTACTCTATAGCGAGTACAACCCAATTAGGGTTTCCTATATGTATCTCAACTACTGCTAGTGAAAGAACCCCTCTTTCCTGTTTCTCGTTTTAGCCTGCTGTTTCGACACTTTTGCGTGCGAGAGTTGCGGACGTGAGTAAGGTGTCAAACTCATATCATACAGTTTGTCTAGGCTATAGTGGGGTAGACACTATGGGGTACGGTTTCCTAGGGTTTCCTACTTCTACCCAACCTTGTGCTAGTTCATTCATTCCTCATTCTTTCACATGATATAGAGCAGGTTCCCTAGTGGGAACGCTTCCTTGAGCCCACCACTGAATTTTTTTTTTCTAACCGGAGCGCCAGTCGCT